TAGTTGGTGAATGGTGATATCATGTAATCAGGTTAGTTGGTGAATGGTGATGTCATGTAATCAGGTTAGTTGGTGAATGGTGATGTCATGTAATCAGGTTAGTTGGTGAATGGTGACGTCGTGTAATCAGGTTAGTTGGTGAAAGGTGATGTCATGTACTATGTGTTTTTAAATATGTGCCAATGCATAGTTTCCATGCATCATAGGTTAGTACAGTACATATTATTACATGTATGCGTAAAGGCACAAGTTATTAGCTATCTTCTCTATATTGTCTTTTATTTTGAATAGCACTCTTATTTGACTTTTTTACCTTGATAGTGTTTATGTTGTCTTCACGAGGGTGTCATGGAGTCTTGCATGTCGTCTGAGGAAAATTGTTACAGCATCTTATGATCAGGAGTTAACTAATTTAGTCAGTGATTGTTTTTGATGTTTGTATCTGAATGACCCTTAGATAAGGAAAAAAGGGGTACTGTCGTAGCTGAAATATCTACTACTTTCACCCTTCATTACTAATTTAAAATAAATCTGTATTCAGGTATATATATAGATTTGATTATGTAATACCCCACTTGAACTCTTTGTCTAGTTTTGAAAGTGCAGTATCTCTTGATTCCTTCTGTTCTTGTCTGGTATTTCAAAAAGCTTCCTTTACAAACTCCAGCAGAAACTAAAAGGCAAGTCAGCAGGTAAGGTACACGACAAACCTTACTGTGAATAAAGATTTAAATTATTTGGTCACTTGTATTTCTGTTTTTATTTGCTAACCGTATTCAATTCATTCTCTCCACGATTATTTTGGAATCTGCATTTTGTAGTTACTTTAGAGTTGTCCGTTGGATGTCAGTGTACCTGAATCGCATGTGTGCATACACTGAAATGTACAATTTTCAGGCATAGCAACACAGTTTTATTTGTGTCTCAATAGATATTACAGATAGCAAGTTTTTCATGAGAAGATACGGTTTTTGTTATTTAACAACATTTCAAACACAGAAGAACAACAACATTACTACATGAAATCCTGTAGATGTATCAAACTATATTAACATATTGTACAGAGTACTTATAAAGAACATCAAAATATTATTTCTCAAAATTACCAAATTTCATTCTTAACTATTATTCTTTACGATATAAAATAAACATGAATATTCTATAGTTTGTTAAAAAATTGTGTAAAACGGTTGAGAATGAAAGACAGTCTTTGTTGAACTTAATCAAGCAGTTAAAAAGTAAATTCCCAAAGTTTTATTTAATACCATGTATGGGGTGTTGTAATGGAATATTATAGTAATGATTACTTTAAATTTATCCTTTTCTGTATCTGATACTTGTTAATAATGACACAATATACATATGATGTCAAAGCATCAGACACTCAGATCTACTTCTAAACTGTGATGCTTTTTTGATCAAATAAAAATTAAACATGGCTCAACCCTGCACAAACTACACAATAAAGTAATCAAAGATAATTCCATATACTTCATTAATTAAAGAAGAGTTAATTAAATAAAAATGTGATTCCAACCGCATAACTTAGAAAAATCTAAATATTTTATTATCATACAATTTTTATAAAACATGAATTTTGATAAAAGAGTTAGCACAAATGATCACATATAAAGTGTAATAGACTTCAAATAAGACCCAAAACTTGAGTGCTTTCGATTAGTTGACTATTCTTCTTCAGGAGAACAAAGAAAAACAGTCAACTATTTGAAAGCGCTCGAGTTTTGGGTCTTATTTTAAGTTTATAAAAAATGACATATTTTAAATAAAAGGTAAGCCTTCAAGAGTCCTGAATAAGGCTCATGAAAGCTAAAGCAGTTGAAAATCTTAAAAAAACTTTTCTATTGCTTTTGCTTTGGTTATTTGTGCAAAGTTACACAAGGGCTATCTGTGCTTATCATATCCAACTTGGAACGGCTACACTAGAGTTAATCAACAATAACCATCACCAACTCTTAAGCTACTCATTTGACTTTAATTATTATAATGCACCCATGGCCTCAAAATACAGAATGTAATATAGCTGCAATAGGCTGTGAATCATGGACCCTTGTATTGTACAGTCCAGAATGGTAACCATTAGGCAATATCAGGCCCCTACTATTATATATTATTAGTTACAATACTTACTACAATCTAAACTAACAGTGTACAGTTTCACAAATATAACACAAGTATAACAATTAAACTCTGTAATGCTTGCTGTAAAATGCCCAAAGAAGTGTTCTTTCCCAGAATACAAATATTGTTTCAAAGATTAATCTAATACGCAATTAACAAACTTGCCAGTGTTATAGTCTAATATTCTTTACTAAAATATAAATGAGGGTGGAAGTGTTGAGGATGCCAGTGAGTTTCAGGCAAATAAAGGCTGGTTTGCCAAATTTAAACAACACTTCAGCCTGCATAATGTGAAGCTGGGAACACATTGGGTGACTTTAAACGTAAGCCTATGTTAGTGTTTCGCGCCGCAAACCCACACACATTAAAAGGCAAGAATAAGTGATATTTGCCTGCAGTTTGGTGTTCAAATAAATAAGCTTGGGTAACTAGGATGCTATTCAATGATTGGTTGCAAAATCATTTTGTGCATGAGGTTAAAGAATACCTGGCAAAGAAGAACATCGATGATAAGGTTCTTATAGTTTTATATAATGCTCGTGACACACTGCAATTCAGCCATCCTAATGTGGAGATAATATTTTTACCTCCCAATATCACATCCATCCTGCAACCGATGGACCAAGGAGTAATAAAGACATTCAAGTCTTACTATACAAGGAACGTATACTGATGTGTAACCCAAGCTATAGACTCTGGTGTTTTTGAAAACTTAACCAAGTTTTGGAAAGCTTATAACATTAAGGACTGTATTGATATCACCAAAATGTCATGGGATGAGATGAAAGAGTCTACCATAAGTGCATGCTGGCATCATCTTTGGCCTGAAGTCATGAACAACTGCAAGGGCTTTCCAACGGTTGAGAAGGATGTTGCCAATATCGTGAGACTCGCTAGAGAAATCAGGGGTGAGGGGTTTGATAATATGACGGATGAGGAGGTGGTGGAGCTGCTGGATTCCTATTACCAAGAGCCAGCAAATGAAGAATTTGAAGCACTGATAGCCTCTGGCAACAGTGATAGTAATGATAATGCTGAAGAGACAGAACCTGCTAAACCCATCCTCACAGCAAAGGCTGTGTCCAATTTCCTACGAAAGGCAGATGAGCTCGCAGAAATGGAAAGAAGAGTTAAATTACATTCTAGCACCATACAGAGAAACATCTTGAAAGATTCGCAGTGGAAAGCCAAACAGCCCAAAAATTACTGACTTTATGAAGCCCAAGTCAGCTCATGTAACACCTGACCCCATCCCATCAGCTTCTACATCTGCTTCATTGGAGTTTGAGGTTGAATTTTCCGATGATCTATCAGCCTTAAACTAACCTCTCAGCCTCCAAATCTATTATCATCACCATCAAAAGTCTTCCTCTCATCAACGAAAGGTCTCCGTCTTCATCATTCATAGGTGATTGTTACAATAAAACACAGTACTGTCTTATTTCTTTTAACGTAATTTTATTTACAGGTGCAGGATATCACATGTTAATGTTATTATGTTTACGATTTTATATTTTTAGTTCATATACAATACTGTACAGGTAGGGCTTTTCATTTGTGTATAAAAAAGTCTATATATAAGCATTTATTGGAGACTTAATGCAGCTGTGTTCCCATACCCCTATTAATCCTATAAGGTATTGAGTTCCTCCAACACAAATTCGCCCAACTTGGCTCGAGGAACGTATCCCCCATGTTGGAGGATGGCCCACTGTAGTCTAATATTCTTTACTAAAATATAAATATTGTTTCAAGAGATTAATCTAACATGTAATTAACAAACCTGCCAGTGTTGTTGTCTAATAATCTTTACTACATCTGTACCAAATTCACATTCATCAGTAACCCTCTCAACTTCAGAAACACTACATACCATAATTATAATAGATTTTTTTAAAACAATTATGATGAAAAAAACATTACTTTAAAATATATATTAATTTTTTCAACTTCTGACAGTTAGACTTTGTGTAATAATTAAGATTGTCTTTGAAGTTCTTCTAAGATTTTTAGATTGGGTTTATAAGGCTACAAGTTACTGCAAGCAAAAGAATGAAGATAAAATTTCCCAACAGAAAATTTCTTTATGAGAAACTCCACATAAGATTATCTGAATTCACCGATTGTAACTACATTTATGATCAGATTACATTTTCATATGTATTAACTTGTTTTTTTATTTATAAATATTTTAACAAGATTGACCTACTAGGATAAAACTGAAACATGAAGAACTAACTTAGCAATACGGCGTTACTTCAAATCTAGTTTTAAAATTGATTTTCTCCTTCTTTTAAATAAAAAGACTTGTTTTAAAACTTTTAAAAATTTATTACAAACTACTTTTAACAAAGTGTTTCAATATTACCCGTTAACATATGTGGAAAAGAAGAAGGTAACATATGTTTTAAATCATATAGTACAAACCTTTCAGATTCATAGTTGTCTTGAAGTTCCAAGGGTACAGTATACCTAGTTAAACGTCTTGCTCGAACCTCTGGCGTAGGGTTCCATAAAATATGTTCCTCCTTATTGCAAGTATAAATAAATTATAACTGATTAACTTTCTGTTCTTACGGGAAAGTACACTTAACTCATTACCGAGTCATCATCAAAGAAAGCCCCCCCCCCCTTAACAAATGGCATGGCAGAAATAACAAAATGTTTGTTAACTAACATCAAAATGAAAAGCATTGAACCTTCTATTATAAATTAACTACACATATTTTAATAGGTATTTATAAATTATACAAAAGCTTATTGGAAACTATGTTTAAGTTACCTCTTTATTAAAAAGATGAGAAACAATGTAAGTTACAGCTTTTACGGTAAGTTAGATTTGTTTTTAGGACAGGTACAATGTTTCAACCACTGGTGTGATCATTCACAAGTACACAAGTTCTGTACTTGACAATGATGGCACCAGTGATCGAAATGTCGAACCTGTTCTAAAAATAAATCTTACTTACTGTAAAAGCTGTAACTTGTAATAAAATATACTTGATCAGTAAGTAATGCAAAATAAACCTATTAATTGAAGAATTTGTCTTATTCTAATGCACAGTTATTAAATTAGTAGTCACTCTGAACAAAGATGGCTTCTGTCTAGATATTTTGTCTTAAGTTTTTATTACAATATTCACCTACGAAATACTGTCACATTTCCATTTTTATACTTTTTCTGAATGATTACAGCATTTCTACTTTTAATCTGAAGTTTATCTTTGATGTCTTTGTATTGCACAAAATATTTATAATAACAGAACACTTACAACGCTGTTTAAACAATACGATAGTTACTTACGATGAAAGTATGTTAACCTTGCCATTGCTACAAGGTACTTGTTTGTTGAATTTCACACAAAGCCACTCAACAACACCCACTGCCAACTCTTGGAAAGTGGAATTGACTGTTGTATTATAATGCCCTCAAGGCCAAAAAGGGGGAATATGTTCAATGATAAAATTCATACCCACAACTCACATACTGCGATTACCCTAACCATCAGGCCATGCTAGACCCACAAATTACTTACACTAAACTCTTTATACTAAAGTTACGTTACAAACCTCTATTCTGTTGTCCTTGAAGTAGATTACGGCATCCCAGTGGCCCTCAATTGTAGCCAGCGTCTCCTTTCCTAGCTTAATTTTACCTGAAACCAAATTACAAAGCTCTGGCCCACCTAGAAATGGCTAGAAAGAAAGAAATAATTTCTTTACAGCCTGGTGTCAAAAATACTTCATACTGATTTAATTACATTTAGAGGTATAAATAATTACTTGTATTAGTACAAAAAAGTCAGTAAAATAAGCGGTTCTTTCTACTAGATTTTCAAAAGAAACATTTTTCTGATAATGAAGGATAATGATGCTTTTTCAGTATTTTCACAACAAATGATTTATGCCATCTTTATTTATAAATCACAGTTTTAGTTACTGAAAATATGCAAAATGAGAATTTAAAAGCATTCATTTTATTGGATTGCTAACATGCCTTTAAAGCATTTTAAACATGAGCTAAGAGAGAGATGTCTGCTACAAATCTTCTCGGTCAGAGCAACTACATAGAGTTCTCAGTTGTATTAACTCTCTCTCTCTCAACTACATAGTTGTATTAACTCTCTCTCTCTCTCAACTACATAGTTATTAACTCTCTCTCTCAACTACATAGTTGTATTAACTCTCTCTCTCAACTACATAGTTGTATTAACTCTCTTGCCACGGGCATCATTTACCTCACTTTATCCTGAGTTACATTCAAAATTTAATTAAACTGTTTTTTGTTTATGCTATACCAATTAGCATAGCATGAAATTGTATCTAATAATCCATATTTTAATAGCATATAAGTTTTAAGTTCTTAATTTTATAAGGCTATATAAAAACAAATCCTCAAATTCCTCTGTTCTCTAATTTATTCACCATTCCTCCAATAATTACAAAATTTAACATAAATTACTAATTATAATATCATCATCTCTCAGAGTCACCAAACAGAAAATCAGACCCATCTTGCCACACCCACTTGTGACATCCTCTCATCACGACATCACGGAATATTTGATAATGCGAGTTTCGCCCAACACGCAAAGATATGAGAGCTCTAGATTGTTACAACTATCTCAACATGGACTTGGTCAATTTGACCGACAAGGTCTTGTTTTTGTAGTCTTTATAGATTTATTTCTAACTTTCAATATAATGTGTATATCTTCTCCAAAGTTGGCAGTCTTTCAGTTAACATTATAAGTCTTTCACATACAAAAAGAAAATAGATTCACAAATTGAAATATGTATAATTAATTTATGTTTTAGTGGGCTTTTTTAAAAGTAGAATACATTTAAATTTTTTATTATACAGCGTAGTAGCTTTTGTTGACTTAAACAATACCCATATATATAACTTATAGACATTTTATTTTAATGTTTGAGCAAAGTCAGCTAGTTCATTATTAGGGAATCTTATTATAATGTGATGTATATGTCCAAAACTTGGAAACTACTACACCAATCGTAACTGTGACATCAGGATTTGTTAATAGTTCTCTCTAACATTTAATACTATACTAGTTATAACCAATAGAAAGAAAGACTTGGAATTTTTACTGAAAGTCTGCTATATTTTGTGAAGATACACAAACTATATTAAAAGTTAGTAGAATCAAAACTGTAACGACTTTAAACAAAAGTGGTCACATGGTCGATCAAGCCCATGTAGAGAGAGAGTTAATAGTTGTGTCGCGAGGTCCTGAAAATAGAAAAAAGTGTAAAAGTGCATAATAATGAGTTCTCCAATATATCCTATTCAAGATTCTGACGGGTGCACAGTTAGCATGATAGAGCATTTTTTCTATGCTGAAATAAGTCCTATAAACAAGTGAGTTGAAAAAACTGAAGCCACATTAAAGACAGGTCCAAACAAGGAGATTAAATAAAACCTGTCTCAAAGTTTTAGTGCAATCTGAGAAGAATGATATGTTATAGCAAGTTCTAGTAGCATTTGATATACCAATTTAAGTATAGACTATAATTCCTGTTACCAACAATATAATTTCACAATATATGTGTTTTCAGTTATACATCAAAGTTATAAATTGAATGACATTAATTGCAACATAGCGGATGTCAAGGATCTTCACCAGCTCCGTATACTCAGCCTTTGATTTCAACATGAACTTATTTATGGTGATAAATGATTGTATTCATACTGTTCAACTAATGCTACCACTTGACAAGTTATTCTCAGAATACATATAAAACTATGGAGGTAAAGCATCATATAGTAGAGGCCATTGCCATTGTAGAATGTGTGTTATCTCTTCTGGCACGGGCACGGTCTCTGGGACCGACCTCGTAACCATTTTGTGCTTGTTATAGCTTTCGTGCTATAATTTTTAAATTAGTATGTGAATGTTAATTTGGTACATTATCAGTAAATATTATGATGCTTTCATATGCAAAATATCAATTTTTTTTATTAAGTCTTAAGGTTTGTAAAGCAATGTTTTTCTCATGTCTTTTTTTTTCTTTTCGCATGCTGCCTATCTATCATGCAAAATAATTTTCATTTTACAATTAAAAATATTTTTATGCATTAGAAAATCTTTACATTTTATCTGTTATTTTCAGTAATTAATCTCTATACGGGTTCTGTAAATTTGAACAATCTTGCAACCACCATAAAAAATTAGGAAATAAACATA